TTTTGAACTTATTGTTGCCACTTGGATGAAATCCACATGTTAAGCACTCGTGACTAGCAAAATCTAAATGGGTAGTATAATCAAGAATTTTGTTTGTTCTATTATGCATGGACTTGAAGTCACTCTTGAGAATAAAAATAAAGATATGAGAAAATTTGCTTTTTCCTCGGATTTCTCACAAACGACATCAATCGATGTGTTATGAATTAACTCATCTAGTAAATTTAAAAACCATAGCACACAAGACAGGTGATGATGGTCTAGTAAGCGTGGATTACGATGGAAGTTTTCTTTGTATTGTGTACCTACAAAACAAATCCTCTTAGTTAGGCGAGAGACCTTTTGATACTCAAGTTAGTAGTCGAAATATGACAAATTGGTCTACGTAGACTCTTTTGTGCAAATATTTAATTGATTATGTATAATTTTATAGACAAAACAAAGAATGTATAAAATGTAGAATCCGTGTTGAGAGTATTTTCTAGAATATATTACTTTGTTATGTTTTAAGCCTTTATATAGGCAATTGTAGGTGTAACTTGAATTGTAGAAATGATAAGAGTTTCCTTTTCTTTTACGGTTAGTAAAAAAACCGAAAAATGTTGATGGTTTACTATCATTGTATTTGATATGTGACGGGGATAGTGTAATTATAATGCGAGATGACCTCATTGATGTTATCATTGAAGATTCTTTATTAAATGTTTTGTCCATCGTGGTGATAGTGAAAGAGAGCAATGTCATTCTTTCTCGAGATGAGACGCTTAAGTTAGGAGGATTCCTAAGCTCTTCTTTGGAGGCAACCCATCTTGTAAAGAATAGTCATTTTTTGAGAACTCACGGCTCGTCTAATAGGTTAGTTTCTTATTGTGAGCTCTAGACTTGAATTAGGTCTTACTAGCCAGTTCCTTACACTACACTACGAATCCGACATAACAAATAACCATTTTAAAATTTTCTAATTTTTAATTAAAATTTTTAATTTAATTAATTTTCTAATGTTTTCATAAATTTTTTGCTTAAAAAAAAAAACCATGATTCATTCTTCTTTATGGATTGATTTTACAATAAAAACTTGTAATAATTTCAACTAAAATATTAATCAAGAATTTTAAAAAAATTACAAATATTTTTCATAATATTTTATTTTAAAAATTAAATTTATAATTAATGGATAGACTTTTATAAAATTAACAAATGAAAAAAAATATTCTTATTTAATACCGATAAGAAGATTGATTTTTAAAATTATATGCGCAACATTGCGAGTAGATAGAGCAAATCCATTTCAAAATTTTTATAATTTTTTATGTAATTATTGCTATTTTTTCATTAAATTTTTTCTTAACAAAATTTTATTATTATTTAATGTTGGTGAGAAGATTATTTTTTTAAAGTCTATGCATTTGATTTATATATATTTATTTACAAAATAATCAATAATATTAGCATAAAAAATATATTTTAATAATTGGTTGGTTCCTTTAAAAAATTATTTTAATTATTTTATTTCAAATACATTGGTTCTATAATGTTAAAAAAATATTCATAGCAATTAATTTGTGTTATGTTGGAAGATGTATAGTTAATTTTTAATAAAAATAATGATTCAATAGTTTTTTGTATACATCTTGACCATGCCTAATGAACTAAGATAAATTATTTGAAGTGCACTTTTAACCTTTTAGAATAAAATAATTATATATTTAGATGTATGCAACTATCATTTTTTTTTTAAAAAAAAAAGGTAAGAATTCATGATATATATTATACCAATTTATTTTTTTAGAAAAGAAAAAAATCATATTTTAAAATTTTATTCTAAAATTCTGACATAGAGAAAAATAAATTATATTTATCGGTAAATAAAATTTTATATAAAAAGTATTAATTGGATAAGAATTTTCATTTTAAAAAATAAATTCAAAGAATAAAATTTAAATAATAAGATTAATATAAGCTAAATTATATGTTAATTTTAAAATATAAAAAGAGAGTGTATATACACACACGTTGTGTGAAAAAAAAAATGAAGGGTTAAAAAAAATGTTACAACATGAAAGACGAAAATAGAAAACAAATGATGAATTTACATATTAATGGCTAAAAGCACTCAAAAAAATCATTAAAAAATTACTTAAGTTTTCATTAAATGAATAATAATTTCAGACATATTAACAATTTATAAATAGTAATTACTGTTAAAAAAAAACCCATATCTTCTAGTTTCATCTAATGAATTTTGAAGTTACCGACTTATGAAACTTTTTTGTTGGGCCATACTGGTATGAGAGATTTCCGTCCCTATGTTTTCACATAACAGGCATCTCGAATAATTTCAAAGTAACTGACTTGTAATGGGCGATAACGAAACAATTATATGTCGTCTTGATTCCTGCAGAGTCCATCACATCCAAGTCCAATGTTAATGCATTATGAAATTAGACTGAATTCTTAAAGAATACTTTCAAAGTTGCTTGAAAAATATTGAAGTTAGCTTTACACGTCTTTCTTGGTCTTTTTTTCATTTTTAGGTTGGCAATAGATCTCACACATAAAGATAATATTCGAAATTGTGTGTTGGATATTTTGCTAATTTTTTTGTGAATTAATATGGAAAAGTTTTGCATAATATATATATATATATTGCATTTTCTATCTCATTCTCTTTGAAAAAAAAAAGAGGAAACTTACCCAACAAGTTAATCAAGCTAATTTCCAGGTAAAAAGAGTAAATTTTTTAAATTTTTAACAAAAAAAAAAAAAAAAGAGAAGAAAACTCATCAGTAAAGCATGCCCTGAATTTTGATTTAGTCTACAATCCTAATAGACAAGAGCTATAATATTACCATACGTAAAGGAATCTCAGCTGAATAGAAGAGGGGGAGTAATAAGCATAGAGGAGGAAATTAATTAAAAAAAAAAAAAAAAGGAAAAGAAAAGAAAAGAAAAGAAAAGAAAAACTGCCACGTTTCACGACCCATGGGATCATAACCAGGCAAAGCAAAAGAAGTAAAGAACTTGTGGTCATCCTTTTTGGTCGGGTTGACACAAAGACAAGTTGACTGTAGGGACAGCCCACAAAACCTTGCTATAAATTGTAAAATTGTGACTAACTTTTAGGACAACCCACAACCTCCTTGTTCTTAGCTCATCAGAAAAAACTATAAACTTCAAACAATCCTCTCCTTGTCTCTCAATATAGAAGTACTACTACTCACCTTCTCTGTTTCCTTACATTTGTTAATTTATCTTCTTCTTCTTCTTCTTACTTTTAATGGAGTACTGGGTTATGTTAATTTTAGTCATAGAACATTTGAATAGTATTATATTATTATCATCGTCTAAAAAGAGGAGTTCTTCTTTAATGTTATCCCGTGGTGCTATTTTGAGGGTGTAAGACAGAAGTTAATTAAGGATTAATTCTCAGGTTTGATTTTGAGGAATAAACACAGCTTACCTTAATCAAGAAATACAAATATAATGTTGAAGAACATGATTGATCATCCAGTACCAGAGCAGCTTCCCATTAATGTAAGTTTCTTTTTTCTTTTTATTTTTGTTTACTGTTTAATGCATGCATGCATATTTATACAGTACGTGTTAATTAGGTCATTTTATTTGAACATCAATTTCAGATAATTTCTTTTAGTTTGTATGTAAAGCATGATATTTTCATGTTTTCATCATCTTAATCTTCCTGTTTCTCTTGGTGGTTAACTGGTTAAATGTTTAGTTCTTAATTGATCAAGGCCTCTTTCTAAATATATATAAAGAATATCAAGAGAGAGGTAGCTCCAACATCTCGCGTTGGAAATTAATGGAGTGAGCTGAGATTAATTAAGAGTTAGATGCGTCAAGGTGGTGGTCAATATCTAGCTATACAATTAGATGAGTCCTTTTGCATAATTTATGCAATCTTCTTATTAATTATGAATTCTTAGAAATGCGTTACTAGCGTGAGAGAGATTATAAAATAAGTAGCGAATTAGATACGTAGCTCCTCTTTGATTTCCATAATACTGCCGGAATGAATATCACAAGTACTACGTATTTGCTTCAATTACATGCATTTGGCCGCCGGCCACAATATGATATATATGCAAACATGCCATCTAATTAACTCATATATAATTGTTATTATCTTACGGGCACCATCAGCCAAAAGTAAGTATCAAAATCGTTACTTTACTATCCATAATATTTTCAACTAATTCCTTTTGATCTTTATAGAATATGTGTACAAGGAATATCTAATATGTGCTCTTTTTGTCAGTTTGATTGATGTAAGGCCCAAATGACAGAACCTCACATGGAAAGCATATTGGGTCTTCATATCCTAGCTAATTGCCTTTCAATTCCGAATGTTTGTTTGAACTCGGCTATTACTATATAAAGATGAAAGGAACGTGCCATGGACACCCTCTTCTCGTTAATGCCGTGTAGTCTTTTTGCTAATCTTGGGTGCACTAGTTCCCGCATGTCACATGGTGCACAGATACACATCTTTTCAACTTTATACACAAATATATACTACGATATTATTCTCCTTCGGAGAATTTTTGTTCTTCATCAAATATAGAAACTAGGTTGGTACTTGGTAACCGCACTTGTATGCACCAGACTAGGTGCTTGTCCACATGAATTTCTACCCCCTCCGCACCCTCCCTCTGCTCCATTCTGGTCCAAGAATACATACATAGTAAGGACAAAGAATTGGAACCTCGTGTCTGATGTCCCTCCCCCTACTTTGCAGGGAGAGCATCATTCAGTGCCTTGTATTTCTGGCACACTTGACCAAGTGAAATCAGCGTAGAAGCTGAAATTCTTATGAAGTCTCATTCTATCCTTGACGATTTCCGTGGATTAAATCAGCTTTATTAGGGAATTTTAGCCCTTTCAAGTTGCATGTCTTTAGCATATCATGGCCTAATAAGTGAATTGACAAAAACACTGAACGAGGATTAAGAATTAGCTAGATTCGAACCATGTTGCAAACTATGAAGAATCATTCCTGGTGTATGCTTAAAGGAAAGGTCAATCTGAATCATAGTAGAAAAGCATCAAACTATGAGGTTTGCACCAGCAGATAAAGTGTAGCTTAGCAGTCATGTCGTGTCGTCTGCTGACTCGCATTAATGATCTTAACATTGTTGCTTTACTGTTTACAGGATGATGTTTCGAGTCCAATCAGTGACCGAATTTTGGAATTCTGTGACCCTGAATTCTTCCAAGAAACCCTGCAAAACTCAGAAGTCACTTCTAGCTCAAACTGTTGCTATGAGGAGAACTCTTCCTACGCTAACAATCTTTCATTGCCACCGGATATAGACAAGTCGAATAGCTATCAAGATAACAATGGCAATCATAACTGCACAACCCCTACGACCACAACCACTAGCACCACTTCTAATAGCACCACTACAACTACAACTTTCAATACTAGCTACATCAATAACAACAACACTAGTAATCTGTCCATGATATTTGACTCCCAGGATGAGCTTGACAATGAACTTTCTGCTTCCATAGACTTTTCTTCATCTCCTACTTTGTCTGTCCCTCAATTTATCTCCACCCAGAATGACCAATTTGATTTCTCTTCAGTTCAACCCCAACTCACACTAACAGATCTTGTATCAACTGATGGTCTCTCACAGTACCCTGCTGAGCCCGCTGCCACGCTCATGGGGCATCCATTACCATCAGTTTTTGAAGAAGATTGCTTGTCCTCGGTGCCTTCTTATGTACCTTTGAACCCATCATCACCCTGTTGTTCATTTCTTGGTCCTGCCATGAGTACTTACATGCCTAATGTGATCATGAATGCCGCATTCTCTGCTGATAGTTCTGGGATTCTCGATGGTGGTATTCTTATGGGTTCTGAATGGCAACCACTCGATTTGGATTTTCAGGGTGATAATGGTGGAATTTACTGTCCTGATTCTCTCCAGCATGTTTTCAACCCTGGTGATCTGCAGGTACTAGAAATACATAGAATACATGCATTTATACCGAATTATAATATTACCATTATTTGTTAAGGTAGCAATTTGAGGAACCTTTACTACTCTATAGAGAGCAAATGCCATGTGAGAAATAAGAAATGGAGTCTCGAAGCCGAACCGCTTTTAATTTTTCGACAACTAAATTACCTGCTTGGAGGGTCTTCGGCCCGAATAGCAGAGCATGTGTACTTTAAATATGGTTTTATTAGAGGAATGATGTTGTATTTATTTTCTCCTCTTTTTAATTTGCCTTTGGAAGGCACTCGGCAATGAAACTCCAAATTTGGTGGGTGGGCCGGTGAGTTCTGCTCCTCTAGCATCAGAGATCTCAAGTTTGGAAGATCCAACTTTCAAGGTGGGCAAACTTTCTGCTGAGCAAAGGAAGGAGAAAATCCATAGGTACATGAAGAAAAGGAATGAGAGGAATTTCAGCAAGAAAATTAAGGTACTCTATTCTCTCCAAAGCAGAACTATATACGAGATATCATGATCAAAAGTATTAGTATTCATCTCATAGGCATATCTGTATCCAAGCAAAGCTTTGCACTTGGCCTGATGATTTGATCAAATTGGCAGTATGCCTGTCGCAAAACCCTGGCGGACAGCCGGCCTCGAGTCAGAGGAAGGTTTGCGAAGAATGATGATTTTGGTGAGATTCATAGGACTGTTTGTGACCATCACGAAGATGATGAAGATGAAGAAGTAAGATTCTGGATTTTATTTTTTTCATCTCAAACGTAAAACGGTTTGTTAACATGTAACAATTGTTTGGTTTTGGGAAAATGTTTGTGACTGTTATTGTATAATCATGTCTTTGCTTGCCTTTCTTTTCTCCTGCAGGCAGTAGTGAAAGAAGAAGATCTGATTGATTCGGATATTTTTGCTCACATCAGTGGTGTGAACTCCTTCAAATGCAATTATTCTATCCAGTCCTGGATTTAAGTACTAGCTTAGCCATCTCTACAATTTTGAAGGATCTTGTTTCAGACAGGATGCTAATTAACTAATTTCCAGGTTAAATTTATAGTAATAAAAGAAATCAAACAAATGGGTGGTCGATATGTCCACGCATATGTGAATGATTCGGTCAGGATTATGTAGACAGTTGAATAAGGAGGTAGTTTTTGTAGATATATTTGTCTTCCCTTCTCTTTTTTTAACTACAATCTCCATGATCGATCCAGCAAATCTGTTAAATGCTGTGGCATCTTATTGTGAGTTGTAGCTGAACAAGTTTGTCAATGAAGTTGTTTTTTGTTATCATTCTTGCGTCCAAGAAATTTGAAGTACTTGATGCATTTACCTCAATTTATTAATTTACTGCCAGTATCGGCCTTCTTTGGTTACGAAACCTTTCCTCATAGACGTAAAATGATGGATTCTGGCCATGGCTACTGCTGGAAACCAAGTTCAGGAAAAGAGAAATTAACGAAAGAGCCCAATGTGGGCTGTTGCTCCAATATCGGCCCAATAGGTTTTGAACTGTGACTAAACTCCAATAATTAAGATTTGACCAGCAATGGGTAACGATCTCTCTTGGTGGCTCCCATGGGGTGGAATTCTCACGGGGATTTGTACCAAAACGAAGAAGTTGCGTCAAAGTGGGTTGGAACACAATGTCAAAATTCTGTGCGTTAAGTTATCTAACATCCTCAAATTCTATAGCCTTTAATTAACTTTTTTCTACCTTAATATGATTTAGGTCATATATTTTATCTACATTTAGATAATGTGTTTGAACTGTCTGTAAAAATATTTTTCCGAAGTCCACTTAAACTAGAAAACAAAATCATCAATTTTTTAGACTATTTTGATAGGTTAATTTCAAAATTATATATAAAAAAACATTTAAAATATTCTTCGATTCAAATACATTTATGTAAAGGTTCCCACAGGGCATTATTAAATACAAAATTAACTCTCAAACGTTTTGCTTCAGATTTCATCGTTTAGCCCATGATGAATCATTGGCCATACAATCCTGCTGATGATTTCGAAACAAAACGCTACATTTATTTTGAAATGTCGAACACACTTAGATAGTGAAACATGCCACTTGGTCCTACCGTTTGATAAAATATAGGGAATAGAAGCAAACAGGGAAATAATGAAGAGAGACAGTTAGTTATATGTCGCTGGTTCCTAATCAAATTTTGATATTTTGACAAAAATTAAGGTCGTAGTCACATGTATATGAATTCGACAAAGCCTAAATGTGCACATTAGACTAAACCTTTGACAAATTGAACGAAGCTACAAAAAAGCTTAGGTGCCCATTGGCCATTAGAAGATAGACTCTTGATCAGCCAAAAACAACAAAAAAAGGCCTTACGTTTTTTCTATAAGTAGTTGCTTAGACGGCTCCTAAAGTATGCCATTGGAGTACAAGTTTTTCTTGCGGGTCAAAATTTTCGACTAGTATGTGTACTGTGCAGGAAAGGAAAAAATATATACTCGTCAGTTAACTAATCAAGGCCACTAGATGCTTAATTAACGGATGCAGTTGGTTCCACCAAATAAAATATTGCAAAAAATAAAATAAAATATTCAAATTGGTAGGATTTATTATTATTATTGGAAATCTCTACCTAGGTTTAGAATCTCCATGTCCCCTGTGGCAACAAAAGGAAGTAATGCTTCAATGAAATCGATGAGCAAATCAAGATTATAATAAAACTAGGAGAGTGTGAAAAAAAAATGCTTAACATTTTTTGTATCTATTTTTTCAAACTTAAATGCAGCAATTATAATTTTTCCAAATAGAATCATAGTTAAAAATGCACATATCAATAATATAATTTTAAAAACGCTTGGAGAATCATAGAAGGGGGGCCTTGAGCTTACATATAGAGTTTGAGTAAAATAGAGAGTCGACTAGAAGGAAAGTGTATTCAAGAATTTACCAGGATTTGTGTGGTGTTTGATGAATTTAGACTTGTTAAAACCTCTTGCTATTAAATTTATTGCAATTTAAATAATAAATTTAATTTTGATTAATGTAAAAATTAATCCAATAATACCTTAATATCTATAAATATTAAAATAATAATAATAATAATAATTTTATTCAAGGATACTAGCAGTTGTGACTTCAAAATTGGGGTCAAATTGTATAATTTACATAGCTAAGTTAATGACGATAGTTTTATTCAAGGGTACTAGCAGTGTGTATGTTTTGTAGTATTTTTGGTTTGGGGTTATTAAATATTAAAAAAAAAAATACCATATGTAGCCTTGATGAAAAAATTAATTAACATCTTTTAGTGTTTTTCTTTTGAATTTCCTTGATCCATATCTAAATCGGATTTGAATCCCAAATTTCTTGAAATTCACGGACTGATTTTATCAAATAAAACAATTAAAAATCACATGACTTTTACGGACGCCCTTTGGTAACGGAACAACTTTTCTGTCGGTAAAGATCTAGTAATTCGTTTGGAACGAAGCTAGAAAACACGGGTGTTGGTCTGCCATGTACATCTTTTTTTTATGAAATTTCGTTCGTCAATGCATATCTGTATTTCAAAGGTTTTACAGAAAAAAGTTCCCCAAATTTTCACAATGGAAAGGGGACCTATAAGTTAGACAAGAATTTACATAGCTAAGGTGTTTGATATCATAAAAACATAATAGGCCTTCTTAGGTTGTGAGGTATAAATTGCATTTTCATTAGGTGTTCCTGTAAAATGTGCATTTTCATTATCCTTAAAAAAAATATAAATTAAATTTTTTGACACCACCTAAGGATTTTAATTTTTTGTTATTCTAGTAATCAAAATATTTCAAAAACTTTATGTATACCAAAATCAAATCTTTATTTTTAATGACAACTTTTCTCAATCCTTTTTAAAAATACAAACTTTTAAGGCACAATAACATTTTTACGAAAAAAAATGTTTATAATTCTATTTATATTGTCATACCATAATTACTTTAAACGGTGGATTCAGGATATTAAGTTTAGAAAAGACAAGCTAAACAAGCCCATGTTAATATATAGTAAATAAAAATGTGGATATCTATTTATGCAATATGTAATATAATCCATTAGATTATGTGAAAATTGATATGTTAATTACTATATATTGTTAGATGATAGTTTTTTAGAGACTAAAAAGGCCTTTATTTGATTAAAAAGTGTTAGTAAAACATTTTATTTCCTTCAACTTTTATTGGATCATGTTTTTTCAATTTAGTTGCATAATTTTTTTCCACTCGAAAATACAAAGAATTCATAAATTAGATACTGTGATGACCCATTTAATGCGAACAACTTTTTTTTTTTTTTTTCACTTAATTCGTCTCGATCTATGCCGGATATCTCGGATGATTTTATCTATCTTTACTCTCTCTTTTTTTGGCAGAGATAAAGACTCTCTGTACTCTCCTCCATTCGAGTAAATAAAAATGGATACAATTATCATTCCCTCATCAAAATAAATGGAGATTTTCTTTTACTGACAGTAATTAAATTTATCTCTAACCTGGTAAAAGGCAAACTACTCCCACCAAAATTTATGGAAATTTTACTTCTTGCAGCCCCACCATCAGGTTTGAACGATATGCCTGACATAGAATGATATTAGTTTGGTACGTACATTTTGGTTGATAGCCGAAATTTTTGGTTATAAATTAATATCCAGCAAATTTAACAACATCACAAGAACACGGAAGGACAAAAGCTCCAACGTCAACCTACTGTTGGGACCTGTGATCCTGTTCCTTGCTCGAGCGACAGCTTCTTTCATTTCTATGATTTTTCGAAGGCCTAAAAATTGCGCCACTTTACAGTTTATTAACACATATTTACTATATCTAGCAAAAGTCCACATGGTAGAGATGCCAACCATGAGAGTTGCAGACAATAGAGGGCAGACGTTCAATTATCTGATTTATGTCCATTTAATTAAATAAAATCTGAAAAATTGATATTTACTTGTATGGCAAAACAATGCAAATTTTTCTTTTCGTGTGTTTACGATCGAAGAAAACACGAATCGTTGAAGCTTGGTGGGGTGGGGTGGGGTGGGGACGTGGGGTGATGCACACGCATGATTTCCTTGACCATCACAAGAAGCATTAGACTTCAAGTTGTCCTATCATCTGATGGAAATTTTATCATCACAAAGTTTGATTCCTGTGTTTGGACATTATGCAGGATTTTATGGTCAGAAATGCATAGTATTTTGAACAAGAGAAAAAAAAAATTGAAGCAGTAGCCGCTATAGTAGTTGCCTTGATACTTCTCGCACACTTACAACAGTATTATAATTAAGGAGATTATTATACATGGAAGCATCTATACATCTTTCGTATATTTATACATTATCTTTTTTAAAAATTTAATTATTTGAATGATGTCAAAGTTTTACTTAGCATGCATGAATGATATATTTTTATGGAATTTTAAAATTTTGGATGCTGAATGAAAAAAAATTAAACTATTATTTAAAAACTCTTTTAGTGGAAAATAACAAAAGTGAATAAAAAAAAACCGAAAATCACGACAATAGTCATGATAATTCATGTTGTTTTTTTAATCATTTATTGATGTTATTTAACCATTCAACAACTCCGATCTATGAAAATAAATATTATTTTTTCTTAGCTTATTTTATGATAAGTCAATTTCTTCTTTTTTGACTATTCACTTTTAAAGCTTATTATTAATTTGCAATATGTGTGTCATTGTACTACCAGCCCAATGACATAGATACTCGCCCTTCGTATTGAAAAGTTTTTTTTTTTTAATAATAATAATAAAAAAAAAAACAGGGATGATTCTACATTGGGTTTTATGAGTAAATGATATCATTTAAGGCATTTCTTATTCCATATTCACCAATCGAAAACTCAGGTTTCATTTGTAAAAAAGCTGACAATCCCGATGTAATTATTGAAAAGACAAATGATGTAATATTAACACTCCGCTGTTACTGCCC